TATATATATATATATATATATATATATGTATATATATATATATATATGCGCACATGAGTACAGCACCCATGGAGACTAGAAGAGGCCATTGGATCCCTGGAGATGGAGTAACTGGCAGTTGTGAGTTGCCCAACACTGAACTCAGGTCCTCTGCAAGAGGAGTACATTTCTTAATTGCTGAGCCACGGCTCTGGTCCCCTTCATTATTTCCTTCCTCTCCTCTTCCTTTCTTCTGGCTTTTTCCATCTATTATCTGTGTGTGTACATATGTGTGCATGTGTGTCCATCTTCCACAGGTGTAGACACCTGAAAACAACATGAGGTTGTTGGTTCTTTCTTTCCACCATGTAAGTGGTGGGGATCAAATCAGGTCATCAGGCTTGGAGCAAGCATCTTGACCTCTGGGCCACGTTCCAGAGCAGCCCCACTCGCTTGCTACCTTTCTTACTGCGGCTGCCTGGCAGCTATGAGAGAGGGTGTGTCCAACAGTCCAGCCCAGACACTAGGATGGAAAGATAAACAAATGTTTCATGGGTGGGACAGATGGACTGACCCAGATTAACCCCTAGCACGCAGCCCTTGGTGGCAACGCTTTTCTTGAGCTCCGCATTTGCTGTACAGGATCTCCACTTGCTACCTTCTCTGAAGTCCCCAACTATGAACCTTTAACAATAACAAGCTCCTTTAGAAAAACCTACCTTCCCAGTTGTCCATGAAATTTAGTCTTCATGTTCCTGGGACAAATGACCTGGAAACCTTGGGCCTGGGGTGGTTTTGGTGGCCCTTGTTTTTTCCGGGAGCCCAGCCACAGAGCTATTGCTCACCTGGGGCAAGGAAGATTCTCAGGGACCTCTGCTTTGCCCGATATCAGAGGAGAGAGCAAAGCAAAGCTATTTCACAGTGTCCTGTTACCAGGGCATCCCAGATTCTCTTCTCATTAATAACAAAAGAGTTTAAAAATGGACCCAGAAGGGAGCTCAAGGGCAGCTTTACATATGTTTGAGAGGAAAAAAGAAAAGCAGCAGGAAGAAGAAGGGACAAAGGTACCCCATGGAAAAAAATGTTTTTACGTCTATCATCTATGGTGTGTGTGTGTGTGTGTGTGTGTGTGTGTGTGTGTGTGTAGGTCAGAGTCCAGTCACAGAGGTCAGTTCTCTCACTACATGGAAATCTGGGAACAATTTTCTTACAGTTTATGAAAAAAGCAACAGGGCTGCTCATGACAGCTGTCAGTAGGAGGGAGAGGAAAAGAAGGCAGGAAAGCCATGCCATTTGTGAGCTGGAAAGACAAGTGGGTGTATAGCTTCAGAGAGAGAGAGTAAGAAAATCCAGAACACAGTGGAAGGCATGCCAGCATCTAAAAGAAAGAAAAAGATAAATAATGAAGAAAAAGAAAAGAAATAACTCAGAAATGTAAGACAGTCAAAGGGTAGAGACTCCACAAGCAACTGCACGGGGCGTGTCTATCTGGGGGCGTGTCTATCTGGGGGCGTGTCTATCTGGGGGCGTGTCTATCTGGGGGCGTGTCTATCTGGGGGCGTGTCTATCTGGGGGCGTGTCTATCTGGGGGCGTGTCTATCTGGGGGCGTGTCTATCTGGGGGCGTGTCTATCTGGGGGCGTGTCTATCTGGGGGCGTGT